TCTCTCCTTCTACTGTGGGTTCTGGGGATTGAACTCAGGTCATCAGGCTTGGCAGTGAACTCCTTTAGCTGCCGAGCCGTCTCGACAGCCCGAATGTTTCCACTTTAACTTCACTTCCAATGGTTGGTTATCTTCCAAACAGTATTTTGTATTTTATTCATTATTATTATTGTGTGTGTAAGTGGTATGCGAAAGTATGGGTAGATGTGTGCCATGGTGAATGTGTACATGTCAGAGGACAACTTTTGGGAGATGTGTCTCTGTCCCACTGTCTCCTGGGGGCTGACATCAGGTCATCAGGATTGCATGGCAAGCACTTACAACCTTGAGCCATCTCACGGATACCCAGTAATAAATCCTCAACATCATCATGTTCAGTACATCGTTCCATCATTTTCATTAGGAGTTTAGGTTTTTGCTTTTTAAGATGGGGCCTCTCTATGTGACTTTCTTTGGCTGGCTTGGAGCTCTCTATGTAGACTAGGCTGGCCTCAGACTCAGAAATCCACCTTCCTCTGTCTCCTGAGTGCTGGGACTAAACACATGTACCAACATGCCAGGTGGTTCCTTCTGATGTTTTAAAGAAGATGAGTGAGGTGATAGACTGACCTTTCCTCCAAGTAAATCTTCAGGGAGACCCCAGGGATGCTCTGCTCCATTGTTTTCCTATTGGGGGGGGGTAAACAAACAGCAGACAGATTCCCTCATTTCCTTTGAATTCAGACCTTCACTATCCTCAACCAATATATTCCTTTACTTCAACTAAAGTCTAACTTAACAGGAACAAGTAGGAGGCTGTCCTTTCTGAAAAGAATTATTTTTCTTAGGGTGTTTCAACTTTGATGGGCAGCCAGATCTGTGGGAGTCTGTTGGCTTCCCTTGGAGAGCTCACAATCAAGCAGTTCATGGATGTGAATCTACTGATGAGTTTTCATCTTACAGCAGTTTGAGGACATTGCAAACTTCGGTCAAGAAAAGATCACATCCCACAGTGCTGAATTAGGACTCTCTCTGGAGCCTGCAGGGCCTTCCCAGTACCAGACAGACTGCTTTTCGCGGGTATATCTCAGATGCCACTTAGCACAAATGACGTATTTACCGAACGGGAGGTGTTATCTCCCATCTAGGATGGTCTCCAAGCCTAACCAAGTGAGATGCCCATCAGATTCTGTCACAGTCTGGCTCCTGGTCCTGGGTTATCTGCACAAAACCGGGCAGGGCGATTTTTGGAGCCACCATAGACTTGGTTGGTCAGGCTTTGCCATCTTCAGGCTGTACCATTCCTGGCAAGCATCACGAAAGACTCACCTGGATCCTGCCTTATTGGGTCGTGGTAACCGGTTAAAGAAAGTATGCAAACAAACAGCTCATCACCAGGACCCTCTCACGGCAGGAGAGAAAAGGTGGCTTTGGCGGGAAAGAGGGGGGAGGGCACAGAGCGGTGGAAGGGGTGGGTGCAAGTTCTGTGCCTGGCCCCGCCGGGGCGCAGATGGGTCAACACGACCTTCCAGGAGTCCTCAGGGGAAACCCATGCTTCCCCTCTTCCCCTCTGCCACACCGGACTTGCAAGCGGTGAGCGGACTGCCCTGTGATGCTTTCCGACTTTCCCGGGACACGCCCCCGCCCCGCCCCGGAAGCCCGCTCCAGCGGATTTGGCGCGCTTTTGAAGTCCGGGGCGCTCGCTCGGATCCCCACGGTCGGCGACACGCCCTTCCCGGTGCTGCGCCATGCCTCGGCCACCGGCTTCGCGGAGGACCCGCGAGGAGGTGGACGCGACGCTGCAGGTGGCCAAGCTGAACGCCGCCGAGCTGCTGCCCACCGTGCACTGCCTGAGCTTCGGCCCCGGCACCAGCGGCGCGGCCGCCGGCGACTTCTGCCTGCTGGAGCTCGAACCCGCACTGTGCCAGCAGCTGGAGGCCGGGCACAGGTGAGTCGGGATGGGGGGACCCCGGGCACGCCGATCCCCCAGCCCGGTGCAGGACACCTACCTGCTGCGTTTTGTTCTGGGGGTGGCGTGGGGGAGGGGAGAGCGGGCACCGAATGAGGAAGTGGACCAGAGAGTGGCTTTGATTGGGCCAGTACAGGGTTGTGGGCGGATCCCCAGCTTGCTGTCATCTCCGGGAGGAATCCATGCCTCTGCTAGGACTGAAGTCTTAGCAGGACTCAGCTGAACTTTCAGAGACGGATGCCAGCGGGAGAATGTCAGGAAGAGAGCACCAGGGACTTCTGAAGGCCTTAGCAGTGATGCCAAGAGCTCTACAGAACACAGTTGTTTTCTCTCAGACTGTAGGGGCACTGTCTCTATAGAGAGCCCCTGCCTTCCGCTTGGGCCTCTTGTCCTCGGACAGTAGGTGGGACAGATGAGGCAGAAGATTAAAGCCTAATGCAGTTGGTTGGGAGTCATCGACTGACGATCTGGGGCTCGTTTTTAATTGCAGGCCAACTACAAGTTTGCTACCAAGACCTTGGCTTTTAACACGTAGGGGCCCTGGATGGGGTTAGTTTGGACTTAGTGATGAAGCGCTTATGTTATAGGATTCCAGCCAAAGGTTGACTCCCCAGGCGTGAAGAATAGGAGCTGACTGAACATATGGGTCATGGTTAAGAGCATTTGTGGCTCTCCCAGAGGCAAGCATCTCTACCGAATGAGGCACCCCATCATCCTCAACTAGCTTTGGTCCGTTTGTTTTGTGCAGACCTGACTCCTGCAAGTTGAGTCCTTCTTGTATTCACTTAGGCGTCGTTTCTGCCCCTAGGTTCATTTTAGTTGGACCATCTAAGCGCTCTTTGAGTTTGTATAGCTGACCCCTCACATAGCGTTCTAGATCACCAGCCACGCAATGGTCACAAAATATCTTTAAGGGCATTGCCCCAAACGTTATTTATCCGTTTCCACCCAGCTGAATTGGAGATTAAGAAGGATCTTTTCTTTGTTCGGCTAATTTATACTAATTATTTAATTTAGTTGGCAAAACCAAGATATTAAAACATGCTTTTTAACCCTCCCTCCCCCAAGACGGAGTCCCTTAGCCAGGCTGGCAGTAAGCTCACTGTGTAGCCAAGGATGACCTTGAACTCCCGACTCTGTAGTGCTGGAATTATAGGTGTGCTGGAGAGTGAACTCAGGGCTTTGTGCAGGCTAGGCAAGCATTCTACCCCTGGAGTGAGCTATGTGTGTGTGTATGAGAGAGAGACAGAGAGACAGAGAGAGAGAGAGAGAGAGAGAGAGAGAGAGAGAGAGAGAGAGAGAGAGAGAGAGGAGAGAACGCCTTTGTGTGATTTGAAGTCAGAGGACGGCTCTTGGGAGTTCATTTTCCCCTTCCATCTTTGAGAGCGGTAGAATGTCTGTGTGTGTGTGTGTGTGTGTGTGTGTGTGTGTGTGTGTGTGTGTGTGAGAGAGAGAGAGAGAGAGAGGGAGGGAGGGAGGGAGGGAGAGAGAGAAGAGGAGGGAGGGAGAGAGAGAAGAGGAGAAAGCGCCTTTGTGTGATTTGATGTTCAACCCCCAAAGGGTAGTGACCCACAGGTTGAGAACCACCGCGTTCAGTTTTATTGGCACCAAGAGTAAAAACAAAAACAGAAACCCTCCAAAGCAACACCCCGTTTAGTCTTTACACTACACTGAAGCTTTAGTTTTAGGAAATTGCCGTCTCCTACTTTAGGGTATTTATTGTTGTTTATTTTAGGGAAGCTGGGTGTGCACAAAAGTGTAAAATGCTTCACAGGTAATGAAAACAGATCCAATGCCTTAGCATAACTGTCATCGCTGACTTTCTTCTCCCTCCTCCTCGCCTTCCTCTTTTCTCTCATCACCGTGGCGAACTCTAGTCTTTAGTCTAGCGTGGATATATAGCTCTTATGCAGCATTGCAGCCTTCTTTCCCGAGGTCCCAGTCTCTCTGCCACGTAACCGATGATAAGGCCGTGCTGTGCAGAGTAAAGCAAGGATGACCTGAGTGGGTACCAGCTGCATACGCATCCTCTGGAAACTTGTGAGGGATGCAGAGTCCTAGGTCTCATCCCAGACTTACCTTATCCCGGCCTGCTTGTCTTCTCCGAGATGTCTGTGTGTATCTTTGAGAAGTAAAGTGCCACCTTAGCCTGCTGTAGAAGACAGCTGTATCATTTTCTTTCCCGTTGCCTTTTGGTTTGTTCGGTTTTGGTTTTCTTGTTGCTTTGTTTTTAGAAAGGATCTCGTGTGGATCAGGCTGACCTCAAACTCACTATGTACCATTTTACCATGTAACTGAGGATGGCCTGGACACTTCTGGTCCTCCTGCCTCCACCTCCTAACTTCTACAATCGCAAGGCTCAGTCGCTACTGGCCCGTCGGCCATCTGAACACCACAGCATCTTGACTAAAGCATCTGGATGCGTCTGTCTTCTGTTTTTCTTAGCGTGTCTGTGGTGACATCTGGCCTTCTGCTCTCTCTGAGTCTTTTTGTCTACATTTAATTATTTTCCTTGGTTAGGTACCAGGCAGATAGCTAACTCTCCAGTCTCAGTGTTTTTCTCTGTGGACTCCATTATTGTACCACAGGGACCTGTATCAGTTTCTTTCCTGTTTCTGTGAGAAAAAAAATCAAAACAAACAAAGAAAAAAAAGTTGCCTTCACCAAGGCAGCGTACAGAAGGAAAGGTTTATTTAGGCTTGCGGTTCCAAAGCGTTAAGAGTCTTTTGTGAGGAGACAGCATGGTAGTAAGCTGCAGGCTTGTGGTGGGAGTAGGGAGTTGAAAGACTGTCTTAGTTAGGGTTTCTATTGCTGAGACAAACACCATGACCAAGTTGAGGAGGAAAGGGTTTACTTGGCTTACACTTCAACATTGCTGTTCATCACTGAAGGAAGGCAAGGACAGGAACTCAAACAGGACAGGATCCCAGGGGCAGGATCTGATGCATGGAGGGGAACTGCTTACTGGCTTGCTCCCCTTGGATTACTCAATCCATCTTCTTATAGAACCCAGGGCCATCAGCCCAGGGATGGCACCACCACCACCCCTCCTCCATGGTCTGGGCTCTCCTCCGTTGATCGCTGACTGGGATTTGCAGCTGCATCTCATGGAGGCATTTCCTCAGCCGAGGCTCCTTCCTCTGATGAATTAGGCTTGTGTCAGCTTGACACACAAAACCAGCCGGTACACAGACACATCTTTGATGGCAAGCACAAAGTGCACTCTTAGAAGACAACGCTCTATACTTTCGAAGCGCACCCTCAGATGCGGACTTCCTCCAGCAAGACTACGCCTCCTAAACCTCCCCCCAAATAGTGCCACCAGCTGCGGACCAGTGTTCAAGTGCCTGAACCCGGGGGTGTGGTGGGGGTGGGCTTCTCTTTCGAAGTGCCAGAGGTTAATCCAGAAGCCAGAGGACTGGGGAAGTATTTGAATGAGCTGTGTACTAGTGTCTCAGAAGTCGTGTCTTCTCCCTGCTCCATTTTCCTGTAGTTTTGTGATCCGAGGTGACAAAGACGAACAAGCTGTGCTGTGTAGTCAAGACAAAACCTACGACCTGAAGATAGCAGACACATCCAATATGCTGCTTGTCATCCCTGGCTGCAAGACGGCAGAGCAGCTGAAGAGGGAGGGAACGCAGGGAAACATTGTTCACACTGAGGTACTGTTTGCTCCCATAGCTGTGTCTGAGCGTGGCAGTCTGGGTCCCAAGCTTGCCTTTGGTTGAAAAGTTGTGGTGTAAGGTAGGTGCTGTCATAGGGAATCTAAAACTTTCTCTACTGAAGCTTGAGGTTTCTCAGTATTACTTTAGTTCTCTTTGAATTTGTGAATTCTTTTATTTTTTCCACTTTGGCTCTTTTTTTTTTTTTTTTTGCCGCAGACACATCCAGTTTTTCTCTCAATGTGGTCTGTTTGCAGTTAGGTAACTTGTTTTGTTTTTAAATTTTTATTTTATGTACTTATTTTGTAAAAATTTTGTGTGTCGGTGTCTTGTCTGCATGTTATGTCTAAACCATGTGCATGCATTGTCCTTTGAGGCCAGAAGAGGGCGTCAGATTGTCCTGGAACTGGAGTTACAGATGGTTGTGAGCTGCCATGTATGTACTGGGAATCGAACCTGGGTCTTCTGGAAGAGCAACCAGTTCTTTCAGCCACTTAGCCATCTCTCTAATCCTAAGTGACTCATTCTTAAAGTTTTACCTACTTTTACTAAATTATGCTGCAGATGTGTTTTGAAAAATGAATCCCTCAAATCGTAACTAGTGCATTTGGTAGAATTTATGAGGTAGAGAAATGAAAATCTTTGAGGTTGGAAGGGAGTGTGTGTCTTAGCTTTGGAGTTAGGTTAGTTCGTTAATATGGAGCCAAGTAAAATGGTAATTATTTTGGAGAATGCTGATGGTTATTACCAAACAAAAATCTCCAGCCTATCTTAGTTATCACACATATGACAATTAAAGCCCTTAATTCTTTCAGAATGTCTCAGGTTAGCTGTTTTCTTAAAAATAGAATTGGAGAAGAAACAAGGGAACATGCTGGAAAGTTGTAATGATTCATGTGGCATTAGGATAGAGGAACTATCAATAAGTTTAGTGTGTGTGTGTGTGTGTGTGTGTGTGTGTGTGTGTGTGTGTGTGTGTTTGTGTGTGTGATATAGCCCAGGCTAGTCTTGAACTTGCCATGCAGCTGATGATGTCCCTGAACCTCTGATCTTCCTGCTTTCAACTTCTGAAACCTGGTATCATAGGCATATACCACCATGCCTGGTTTATGCAGACTATTGTTTTATAGTTGATTTAAAAAATTATTTATTTGCCGGTCAATGATGGTGCATGTCTTTAATCCCAGCAGAGGCAGGAGGATCTCTGTGAGTTTGAGGCCAGCCTGGGTCTACAGCAGCTAGTTCCAGGACAGCCTCCAAAGCCACGGAGAAACTCTGTCTTACAAAACAAAACAAATTTATTTATGTTTTATGTGCATTGGTGTTGGGTCCCTTGGAACTGGAGTTAAAGACAGTTGGGAGTTGCCATATAGGTGCTTGGAATTGAACCCAGGTCCACTGGAAGAGTAGTCAGTGCTCTTAACCGCTAAGCCATCTCTCCAGCCCCATTGTAGATGATGTTTTTGAGACAGTCTGTCAGTGTAGCCCAGGCTGATCTTGATCTTCTTGCTTCATCTTCCTCTAAGTGCTAAGACTAGACAAGCACTTTACCAACTGAGCTATATCCCCAGTTATGGCTGGCTATTGTTGTTTACTTTTTTTTCTACTTTGGAGACAAGGTCTCACTATGTACCCTTGGCTGGCCTGCACCTTGTAAAGATCCACCTCCCTCTGTCTCCTGAATGCTGTGATTAAAAGCAGGTGCTGCCATGCCAGACCCTGTTTTTTGTTTCTGGAGGTTTTGTTTATTTTTATTTTAGATCTATGATTGTTTGGTCTGCGTGTATTCTATGTACCACCATGCTTGACATCTCTCTTATTTATTTCATATTTTCAGTTGTTTCCATTTGGTTGGTAGCATTGTCACCATTCTAGAATATTCTTGAGATTAATCATCATTTTTTTTTGGCAGTGTTTTTCTTTCCTTTTCTTTTTCTTTGTTTTCTCTTTTGGTTTTTCGAGACAGGGTTTCTCTGTGGCTTTGAAGGCTGTCCTGGAACTAGCTCTTGTAGACCCAGGCTGGCCTCGAACTCACAGAGATCCACCTGCCTCTGCCTCCTGAGTGCTGGGATCAGGCTGGGCACCACCACCACTTGATGGTGGTGCTTCTCTGAATGGGCTTTTCCAAGTAGTTGAGATGGCTGGAAAGGTACCGTGGAGCTAAGATGACTTTGTGGGAATGTCTTATCTTTTAGAAAGGCCACAGAGACTCATGCTGCGTTGTGATTTCTAGATCTTTGGTTTCTCTAACAATTACTGGGAGTTGAGAAGATGCAGACCTAAACTAAAAAAGCTAAAGAAACTTCTGATGGAAAATACCTATGAAGGCCCCGACAGTCATAAAGAAGAAGACCCAAGCCGCTCAAAAGTAAGAATATTATTTCCTGGTTTTATTTGAAATTTTAAAATGTAAATAATTAAAAAAATGTTTTTATTTGAGTTTGACTCTTGCTATGTAGACTTGGTTAGCCTATCTCTGCTTCCTCATATACTGGATTGTGGGTGTGTACTGTCATCCATTACTGGCGATAGTCTTATTTTTTTTACATTTGTGTTATAACAGTTCCAAACACACAGCAATCTGGGTAGACACAGAGTGGCATGTAGTCGAGGACTTGGCCATTTAAATATGCTTGTTTTGTTTTTACATTTATTTATTTATTATTTGGTATGTGTGGTGGGCGTTGGTGGTACTCGTGTGCCATAACGTGAGTATGAAGGTTAGAGGTCAACCGTAACCTGAGTATGAAGGTTAGAGGTCAACCGTAACCTGAGTATGGAGGTTAGAGATCAACCATAACCTGTATGAAAGTTAGAGGTCAACCATAACCTGTATGGAGGTTAGAGGTCAACCATAACCTGAATGGAGGTTAGAGGTCAACCATAGCCTGTATGGAGGTTAGATCAACCATAACCTGAGTATGGAGGTTAGAGATCAACCATAATCTGAGTATGAAGGTTAGAGGTCAACCATAACCTGTATGAAGGTTAGAGGTCAACCATAACCTGTATGAAGGTTAGAGGTCAACCATAACCTGAGTATGGAGGTTAGAGGTCAACCATAACCTGAATGGAGGTTAGAGGTCAACCATAACCTGTATGAAGGTTAGAGGTCAACCATAACCTGTATGGAGGTTAGAGGTCAACCATAACCTGTATGAAGGTTAGAGGTCAACCATAACCTGTATGAAGGTTAGAGGTCAACCATAACCTGTATGGAGGTTAGAGGTCAACCATAACCTGTATGAAGGTTGGAGGTCAACCATAACCTGTATGAAGGTTAGAGGTCAACCATAACCTGAATGGAGGTTGGAGGTCAACCATAACCTGTATGAAGGTTAGAGGTCAACCATAACCTGAATGGAGGTTGGAGGTCAACCATAGCCTGTATGAAGGTTAGAGGTCAACCATAGCCTGTATGGAGGTTAGAGGTCAACCATAACCTGAGTATGGAGGTTAGAGGTCAACCATAACCTGAATGGAGGTTAGAGGTCAACCATAACCTGAATGGAGGTTAGAGGTCAACCATAACCTGTATGAAGGTTAGAGGTCAACCATAACCTGAATGGAGGTTGGAGGTCAACCATAGCCTGAGTATGGAGGTTAGAGGTCAACCATAACCTGTATGGAGGTTAGAGATCAATTTGCAGGGTCAGGCTCTCTTTCCCACCTTGTGGATTTGGGGCGTTGAGCCTAAGTCATCAGACTCGGTGGCAGCCACTTTTCCCTGCAGAGCCAGCCCTGTTTGCTTTGGTTTTGAGCTTGGTGTGTGCTGAACTGTGTGTGAGGAGGTGGTGGATGTGCATCCTGTGACACCAGTGTGGACGTCAGAGGACAACTTTGCGGAGTCGGCTCTCTCCTTCTAGCTCTACATGGGTTCCAGGAGTCAGACTCAGGGTATCGGCTAACAGTGGCAAGCATCCTTACCCATAAAAACCTTTAGTTGATGAGCCATCCTACCAGCCCTTAGGCTGAATCTTGATCCCCCTGCCTCCACCTCCAGGGTACGTCGATTACAAGTATGCAACGCCATGGCCGGCAAACAGCATTCTGAAGTACAAAACTTAATCCTTTTTGTAAAGTCTGGATGATGACCCTACTCTTGCTTTTCCCCATTTCCTCATCTTTCTTCTCTTCCTTTCCCCCCCCATCTTCTCCACCCCCTCTTCCTTTTTTTTTTTTTTTTTGGATAGCCCAGGCTAACCCAAATACTTCTTTCCTTCAGCTTGCCAAGGATTACAGGTGTGTGCCATTACCCCTGGCTATGTCTTTTCTGCCATTTGTGGTTTTGGTGTCTGAGTCAATAAACACAATAAGACACACAATTACCAGGTATGATGACATCAGGATTTGCTCCTGTTTTAAGACAGATTTTGTATTCTGATCATTACCCATTAACAAAAGAAACTGTGCTTTCACCAGCTCTATTTACTGTAGTGATACATTGTTTGTAATCTAACAAATAAAGCTTGCTTGGAGATCAGAATGCAGAACTAAGCCACTAGTCAACAACACACCTAGTTAAGAGCTAAGCCACTAGTTAGCCATAGAGGACAGTCAGTAGTGGCCAACCTTTAATCCTAGCACTTGAGAGACTAAGACAGATGGATCTCTGAGAGTTCAAGGCCACCCTGGGCTAACAAGAGAGTGAATCGGTCTAAAAGAGAAACAGAGCTCACACCAGCACTTGGGATGACACACTTTAATCCCAGTAGTAGAGAGAATATAAGGCAGGAGCTCAGTGCAGTCTCAGAGCAGTCTGAGGTTTGGTGGAGAGCATTGCAGTCTGCAGTCACTCTGAGGACAGGATCACCCCTCTTTGATCTTAGCCTTGGTAGAGGTGAGAACTCTCTAGTGGCTTGGCTGCTTTGGTTTTCTGATCTTCAGTTTGAACCCCAATATTTGATCTGTGTTTTTATTATTCGTGCTACAATGTACTTACTCTCTGGAAACTCATTAAGAGCCCGGCGTTGGTGGCTCATACCTTTAATCCCAGCACACAGGAGGCAGAGGCAGGTGGATCTCTGTGAGTTCGAGGCCAGCCTGGTCTACAAAGCAAGTTCCGTGACAGGCTCCAAAACAATACAGAGAAACCCTGCCTCGAAAAAAAAAAAAAAAAAGAAAGAAAGAAAGAAAACTCAGAAAGTAATATTTCTCAAATCATTAAGATATGTATCTATTTCATTTGTTTCAGTATACAACTGAAGATTTGCTTGATCAAATTCAGGCAAGCGAGGAAGAAATAATGGCCCAGTTACAAGTCCTAAATGCCTGTGAGATTGGAGGTAGTGTAACTGTTACCATTCATAGTGGTGGAACTGTATCATATGTAAGAGAGAAGCTTTGGGGTGCCTTAGCCATGTTGCATGCTTGCTTAATTTCCTTTTAGCTTCAAAGGTAATGTGATACCAGGAGTAGAAGAATACTTGTTGAATATGTGCGAGACCTGGTGCTTGAATCCCAACACACACACGCACACATGCACGCACGCATGCACGTGTGCACACATGCACACACGCATACACGCGTGCACACATGCACGAACAAATGAATGCACCCACAGGCACACATGAACTCAGCACACACACACACACACACACACACACACACACACACACATTGATGATGCTTGCCTATAAGATGATCTTTACATGAGGTCAATCTGTCATTCTGGGAACAGTGACATTTTAACCACTCACTACAGACCTTTCCTTTTAAAAGTCCTTAAATACCAAGTAGTTCGATCTTTTCATTTATATCAATTTTATTTTCTTTATTTATTTTGGTTTTCGAGACAGGGTTTCTCTTTGTAATTCTGGCTTTCCTAGAACTCAGTCTATAGACCAGCTTGGGCTCAAACTCACGAGATCCATCTGCCTCTGCCTTCTGAGTGCTGGGATTAAAGGTGTGCGCCACCTACCACACCTGGCTTAAATCAGTTTTTAAACAGGTAAAGAAATTAAGGTCTAAAGGGTGTGTTAATGACAGTCATGACGTCAGTGCTAGATCTGCGCTTTAGAATCAGTTCAACATCTTCATTAGATTTTCAAATAGCCTTACATGTGTGCTGTGCTTCTTTATGTGCTAATGCTAGTGCACACATGATTTATAACAAACACATGTGAAAGACCAGGTATGTTGAGCTCACCAGGTGATGGAGAGGAAGTTCTGTAGTGCCTCTGGATCTGTGGTCATTACTGAGACCTTGTTTGTAAGCATCTATGAGACATGTATCTACCGATCTATCTATCTACCTATCCATCTATCCATCTATCTATCTATCTATCTATCTATCTATCTATCTATCATCTGTCTCTGTCTATCATCCATTTATCTTTCTGTCTATCTGACTGTCTGTCTGTCTGACTGTCTGTCTATCATCCACCCACCCATGCATCCATCATCTACCTGTCTATCTGAGGCAGGGTATCAGTACGTAGCCCTGACTGACCTGGAATTCACAAAATCAGCAGTTCTCAACCAAAGATTCACAACCCCTTTGGGAGTCAAACTAACCTTTCACAGGGGTCACATATCATTATTCGACTTATCAGATATTTACATTATGGTTCATAACAGTAACAAAATTTACGATTATGAAGCAACAAAAATAATGTTGAGGAGCTGTATTAAAGGAAGGAGAAAGGTTGAGAACCACTGCACTACATAGATGAGGCCAGTTTTGAACTCTTGAAAATCCTCTGCCTTAGCCGGGCGTTGGTAGCCCACGCCTTTAATCCCTAGGGAGACAGAAGCAGGCGGATCACTGTGAGTTTGAGGCCAGCCTGGTCTACAGAGCGAGTTCCAGGGCAGCCTCCAAAACAATACATAAAAACCCTGTCTTGAAAAACCAAAAAAAAAAAAAAAAAAAAAAGAAAGAAAGAAAGAAAATCCTCCTGCTTCTGCTCCCCAAGTATTGGTACGAAAGGCATATGCCACTACGCCTGACCATGAACCCATTCTCAACTTACTAGAGAAACAACTTGATTCTTCACGTATTAGTTAGGAAGAAAGAAATCGGTATGCTTTGGTGGATGTACTATTCATTTTGCTCCTAATCTTACAGACAAGATTAGTTTTTGTGCACCTTACCCCTTAAATATGGACAATTCTGTTAAACAAAGAACTGCATGTATTCCTCCACGCCCTTTGTTTTTTGAGACAGAGTTTTTCTGTGTGGCCTTGGACATCCTGTAACTCTCTCTATGGAACAGGCTGGCCTCCAACTCCAATTCCAGTGACTCTGCCTCCCAAGTGCTGAGATTAAAGGTGTGTGCTGCCACTGCCAAGTTTTTTTTATGATACTTTCAATTTTCCAGAATAAGAACAGAACATTTCCTTGTAAAATGGTAGATATCAACGTGAGTTATTTTTGCCATCGGTATCTGTGCCATTAGTTTTAAAACAGCACTTTGAATTCTTGTACGGTGTTACTCTTTAGCCCTGGCTGACCTAGAACTTGAACTTGCTGTGAAGCCAACTGGCATTGAACATTTGAGATTCCTCCGACTCAGCTTCCAGAGCGCTAGTGTCATAGGTATACGGCACCACACCCGATGGCATTTCAAATTCCTTCACAGAAATAGTCTTTCAAATTAATTTTATGCTTAGCATACAAAGAGATAGATTCCACTGTGACATTTGTTGTTATTGTTTTTTCAAGACAGGGTTTTCCCGTTGTATATTGGCTGTCCTGAAACTCACTCTGTAGACCAGACAGGCCTTGAGCTCAGAGATCCTCCTGCCTCTGCTTCCAGAGTGCTGGGATTAAAGGCGTATGCCACCACTGCCTGGCTCACTGACATTTTCATGTATGAATCAGGCTTTGTTTTCAGCCACTCTCGGGCTGCCCCGCCATCACCTCTCTGCCTTCTCTTGGTGAGGACCTTCTTCCCTGCAAATTGGTCCCCTGTTGACTTAATGACACGTAGACTCCCTTAGATTTCCTTTATTCCCCACTCCTGTTAGACCTCTTCCTCACATCCTGTTTCTGCCTTCACATCCTACATATGACTGTATCTTCACACACATGCATGCACAAACCTAAATCTAGATTCTGTGTATTTGAGAAAACATGGTATTTGTCTTTCTCAGTCTAGTTCATTTCTCTTGACATAATGTTCTCCACTTTCATCTTCCTTCAAATATCGTCATTCCATTCTTGACTGCTGAGGAAAATCCCATTGTGTATACACATAGCCAGTGTCTTAGAAATAGCGAAAGATACCTTGATTCCCCCAGTGGTTATTTTTCTTGTCCACGCCGTAGCAGAATCTGTTATCTCTCTGGTGAGAACACGTTCTTTGTGCTGTGAGAACGTGTTTTCAGATAGCTGTGATCAGAGAGTTCTAATCAGCAGCATGGCATAGCATAGATTACCTCAGAGTCTCTTCCCAGAGTGCTCTAGATTGTGTCTAGTTGACAGTCACAGTAGCCACCACAATGCCTTATGGGTAGGAGGGTGTTCCTGCTTTATTTATTATTTAATCACTTAAAAAACATTCTTTAAGCCAGGCGGTGGTGGCGCACGCCTTTAATCCCAGCACTCGGGAGGCAGAGGCAGGCGGATCTCTGTGAGTTCGAGGCCGGGCTGGACCGACAGCCTCCAAAACAATACAGAGAAACCCTGTCTCGTAAAAACAAAAACAAAAAACAAACAAGCAAACAAAACCATTCTTTAGTAAGTTTGACATTTGGAATTTGTAGGTTATTGGAGGATTCTTGAATTTGATTATGAGATCCAACTTCTGAATCATGTGACTCAGCTTGTGGATTCCGAATCTTGGTCTTTTAGTAAAGTTCCCTTGAATGTGTGCCTGCAGGAACTTGGACCTTTGCAGCCAGAGTGAGTATTTCCTTCATTTGTCAGTGTGGATTTCTTTAAGACAGTGATAATTCTTTTTCAGACTAGAAGTAAACTGGGGGCATAGCATTTGCATTCTTTTTTTTTTTTTTTTGGTTTTTCGAGACAGGGTTTCTCTGTGGCTTTGGAGGCTGTCCTGGAACTCACTTTGTAGACCAGCCTGGCTTCGAACTCACAGAGATCCGCCTGCCTCTGCCTCCCGAGTGCTGGGATTAAAGGCGTGTGCCACCAACACCCGGCAGCATTTGCATTCTGATGTAGAAAAATGATTTATTTTTATTTTATGTGTATGAGTTTTTGCCTGCATATTTGCATGTGCATCATGTACATGCATGCCTGTTGCTGCCTGTAGAGGTCAGATGAGGGCATCAGATCCCCTGGAACTGGAGTTAACTGGGGGTTCTGAGCCACCATGTGGGTGCTTGGAACTGAACCTGGATTTTCTGTAAGAGCAGCAAGTGCTCTGAACCTCTGAGCTGCTCTGTAGCGGGGGTGGGGGGGTGGGTTAAAAACACACAACCAGAAAGACTTTGAGACTTTTGGTCATTGGCGTGAATAAACCTGCATCATCTTTTCTACTTTTTGTTTTGGTCACAAAAGTTAATGATCGTACTTTAGCTACTGTATAACAAGGAATGTATGGCTACCTAATTCCTGCAAAATGTGTAACACAGGCCTGGCATGTGACATTTCCCAGGACATTTAAATTAGTTGTTAAGTAATATTTGTCATCCAAGTAATTTAGTATTTCAATTCCTTAATTTATATTTGAGTTTATAGTTAGCAGCTGGGTTTCAAATGTCTATAAAACGCTGATAAGTTTTCTTGTACGTTTTACATTTTCAGGGAAATGATCGAACACTGTCTTAAATGCTATGGAAAGAAATATGTGGAGGAAGGTAAAAACTGGAAAGTATTGGGATTTTTAACTCGTATGTAAATAAGTTTGTTGTTGTTACTAAGAACCATGGAAGCTGAACAAAGATACAGGACTCCTTCCAAGCCATGCTGTTGAGGGAAAGGAAGTGCTAATACTGTACTGAATAATAACATAATACGGTGTAGTGAGATGGCTGAGCTAAGCCTGATGCCCTGAGTTTTATTCCCAGTACAAGATGAGAACAGACTCCTGAATGTTGTCATCTGACCTCCACATTCATGTGGTGGCATACACAAGCCCACACATGTACATGCACGCGCGTGTACACACACACACACACACACACACACACACACACACACGAAGTAAATAAACAAATGCCGTTTAAAAAACTGTTATGAACCTGTCTGATACCGTTTCCCTAGATGAAGTTTATTTTGAATTGGATGCCGACAAAATATGCAGAGTGACGGCTGAGATGCTGTTGCAGAACGCTGTGAAGTTTAATCTAGATGAGTTTCAGGAAGTGTGGCAGCAGAGTGTCCCCGAGGGAATGACAACTTGTCTTGATCAGCTCAAGGTAAGGCTGATGGGGGCTGTGCCTGGGATTCCCCAGGTGACATCTAACTACATGAGGTGATTCTTGCCCTGGAGCTCAATTGGGAGGTATTTCATTTTCGTAGACAGCCGTTAGGGGTACAGTCTTCATTTGCTACATCACAAAGTCCTTTAACTCCCTCAGTAATTATATATATTCTTTGGGGCCACAGATGTGATATAGTTGGTAAAACACTTGCATAGTATTCATGAAGCCCTGAGTTCAATCCCCAGCACTTCATAAAAATCAAGCATGGTAGTATATGCCTTTAATCCCCAGCATTTAGGGTAAAGGCCAGAGGACCAGGAGTTCAAGATCATCCTTGGCTACACATTGAGGTCATGCCAGTCTAGGCTGGCATTTACCCTGCTTCAAGAAACAAAAAAGGGGGTGGGAGAGAAACAAACAAGCAAACCAACACCCCCACCCCCAAAGAATACTGGCCACAGAAATAGATAACAGTAGGATGCAAGAAATGGTGCTCAGTAGGTCCTTGCTACCAAACCTGGCACCCCAAGTTTAATCTTTAGGACTCACATGAAGGAAAGTCAGAAATGACTCTTAAATTATCCTCTGATTTCTACATGTGCACACACATACCCTCTCCACTACACTAAACACACACACACACACATACACACACACACACAATTTAAAAAAAATAAGGAGCAAACAGAAATAGATACTGGGTGATGGGAACAGAAATCTTGGTGTCTCCCGACCACTTAGGTATGGGATTTGAATACTAGAATTTAGGTTCTCTAGATTTCCTGTCTCCCAAGGCAGTGGGAGTGGAGCAGGTGTCCTCTCTAATGTGGACATGTGGCTCCGGGACTCAGAAGAGGTGTCTAAATAGAAGATGCAAATATTACAGCCATGAGCACTGGCGCTGGGGGCTGTGGGGTAGGAGGTTACCCAGGACAGGTGGAGGCCTGTGAAACTACACATAAGTGAGACAGAAAAGAAGGACATTAACAAGAAAGTAGGGCTGGTAAGGCAAAGCCAAGAAGCCAAGGAAAGTGCTTTCTGCATTTGGCAATGAGTGGTCACTGGTGACAGTTGTCACCCAGCTATCTTGGTAAACTGGTGGTATTGGTGACCTTTGCAGACAGCAAAGAAATTCCAGCTTAAAGAAACTCTTTTGTGAGAATGGTGGGCTAGATTTCTCTGGATAGGTTTTCTGTAATTTTCATGTCGCTGGTATTTTAAATTCCTTGGGCTACATCTAATGGCAAAAGAGATGCGTCATATTTAAATATGGGATCATTATGTTCACTGCCTGTCTTCCTTCTTGTCTCTTGTAGGGCTTAGCACTGGTGGATAGAAACTCAAGACCAGAAATCATATTTTTGCTCAAAGTAGATGATTTGCCTGAGGGAACACAGGAGCGCTTCAATAGTCTGTTCTCTCTAAGAGAAAAGTGGACGGAAGAAGACATCGCTCCGTATATCCGGTAACTATTTCATTTACAATGGGTTATGATGGTTATTCTTGAAAATGTGGCATAGGGTTTCAGGTTTGTGATCTGAACAGGGTATTGCTGTGTAGTCCCTAAGGATGCTGCATTCCCGGAAACTTTCTCCAATGGCCGCTGTGTCATTGTCTGATTACTCATCCTGAAGGCAGAGTATGTGTTACCTTTTTTCTTAACATCCCTTCTATAGTCATTTCTCTGCTCTCCTTCCTACAAAATTACAGTTCTTCAGGGGAGAGTAAATACACCCATGTGCCAAAGGTGGACACCTCTCATTGGTTGCCAACTCCTGTTTTTCCTGGTGCTCATATTGTGTTTTTCTTTTTTTACTTACATTTATTTACCGATTTAACGTTGTGTATGTGGGAGTGTGTGCGTGCATATTCAAGGTTGTGTATGTGTGGGCGTGTGGTGGTGAATGCAAGTGCGTGTTTGCCACAGCATGTGGAGGTCAAAGGGCACCCTTGGGTGTTGGTCTTCACTGTCCCCTCTACTTGAGACAGGCTCTTCTGTTCCTTTTTCATCCCATATGTCAGGCTAGCTGGCCCAGGTGGTTTTGAAGATTCTCCTGTCTCTGTCTTCTGTATCCATCTGGCAGTGCTGGGACAGAAACCCATGCTATGGCATCCAATTCTAGGTTCTAGAGATTAGGGCTCAGGTCCTCACATAGGCAATGCAAGTACTTCTTCACCTATTGATTCATTAACCCCTTAGGTCTTGATTTGGTCTTTTTGAAACAGGGTCCTAAGTAGCTCAGGCTGGCCCTCAGCTTGCTGTGTAGTTAAGGATGACCTTGAACTCCCGATCCTTCTCCACATGCTGGGGTTACAGGTGTGAGCTGTGTCTATCTGTCACCTTAATTTAATAGAACTTTGTTATTTTATTTGACTTTGCGACAGGGTCTCATGTGATAGCCCAGGTTGGCCTCAAACTGGTTAGGCTGGTCTAAAATTCCTGATCCTTCTTCCTCATCTTCTCTCACGTGCTGGGATTATTGGAATGCACCATCACACCTAGCTCTTGGATTGTTCTTTGATGCCATGGTAGTGGCCAGATTCCAGAAGGTCAAATTAGCCTTGGCAGCTCAAGTCTACCAGCGCTTGAAATCCATTACCACTACACACCTTGTAGGCCGTGCCCTGTGTAGCTCCTGCTGTGTATGTATTCCTTCTCTCTTCTCTCTCCCTCTGAATTAAACCCAACTTTCTGTTTATTCTGTGACCTACATCCATAGCTGAAGCTCCTGGAGAAAAATCTCCAAGGAAGTCTCCAGACTTAGAATTTAGCACAGGCCACGGCCTATCACTGTGTCTCATAAAACTTTCCTATTTTAATCATATCTTCCAATACCACCAATATCACTTTATATCTTCGCTCCCTACTTAGGATTTTATTGCTTGAGGAAATGGAAGCGATTAGATTGGAATTCCATCCTTTCCCTTTTCCCAACCTTCTATTCCTTATATCTTCATTCCTTCTGTTCAGTCACCCCTGTATGGTGTATACATTGTACTCCCCTCTCTCTGTGATATATCTTAGGATGGATTTGTACTTATCTGTGTGAGTGTGTATGCATGTACATGAGGACGGGAGTGCACGGCATTTGGAGGCCAGGAGAACCAGATGTCTTCCTCTCTTACTCTCTGCCTGTTTCTCTGAGGCAGAGCCTCTTCATGAACTGAGGGCCTGTCTTAGCTAGGCTTGAAGTTAGCAAGCTCTATCCATCTTCCCCTCTTGGAGCTGGGATTTGGGGGCAAGAATCAGGTTGGTACCACGAGTGCTGTGATGAAAGAAAATGCCTGATTGAACCAGCCAAGTGCTCTACAACTGAGCTGTATCTTCAGCCCTATTTATCTGAGGGAGAGGGAGGAGAGTGTGTCATGGCTAGTATGGGGAAATCAGATGACAGCTTTTATGAGTCAATTCCTTCTTTCTGTGATGGTCAATCCTAGAGACTGAACTCAGGATGCTGGGTAGCAAATGCCTTTATCTGCTGAACCATCTCATTGGCCCTCATCCTTCTTAAGTTCTCTCTCTCTCCTTTCCTTTTTTCCTCCCCTTCCTCCCTCCCTCCCTCCCTCCATTCCTCCTTCCTTCCTTCCTTCTTTCCTTTTTTTTTTTTTTTTTTTGGAGATAGGTTCTTACTAGGTTGCTTGGGTATGCCTGGAACTCACCCATATTTTGGGTAGGACCTCAGTCTGTGATTGTTTTATTCCCAAGAGGATTGCAAACCTGTGCTACTACATTCTCTCTCTGTCTCTCTCTCTATATATATATATATGTGTGTGTGTGTGTGTGTGTGTGTGTGTGTGTGTGTGTGTATGTATGTATATATATAGTGTGTGTGTGTGTGTATGTATGTATGTATGTATGTATGTATGTACACATGTGTGTTTCACTGGGTGTCCTCATCCAGGCCTGAATAAATATAGTGACTTCCTTATTCTATTTTCATTGATGATATTTATCATGACCTGCTGATTGTTAAATATTGAAAAGTATCAATATAACGAGTCTTCCATGTTCTCACTGCCCAGATTCCATCTCACCTCATTGCCTCCATCATTTAAAGCTCAGATCATATTATGCTTTTTGCATTGTGTAAAATACTACTAGTAGCCTTTGCATTATGTTTCCAATTAAATCACAAGCCCTTTCTGTGTACTTTATGGCCCTCTGTGATCTAGCTCTCCTTCCCTTCATGTCATCTTCTCTTTCCTCAAATTAGGCTTCAGGCAGCCTTCCTTTTGAGGTTCATAAGCTAACGTCCAAGAAAGGCAGGCAAGCCAGACAAGTCCACACGTGGCAAGCCTAGGATACAGGTTCTTTGACTCTGGATGCCTCCATATCGGAGATTACATAATATAATGGAACTTTGAAGTCACACACACGTGATGCAATTCTTTTTCCATTAATTTTTTTCTTTTTCCCCTTTTTAATTTAAATTAGAAACAATCTTATATTATATATCAATCCCAGTTCTCTGCCCTCCCTTTCTCTCATGCCCCCCACCAACCACCATCCCATCCCTCTTCTGTTCCATAGAAAGGGTGAGGCCTTCTATGGGGGGTCATCATAGTCTGTCACATCATTTGGGGCAAGGCCTAGGCCCTCCCCCGTGTGTCTAGGATGAGAGAGTAACCATCTTTGGGGAATGAACTGCAATGCCCGTTCGTACACTAGGTATAAATGCTGTTCCATTACCAGGGGCCCCATAGACTGCCCCGGCTTCCTAACTGACACCTGCTTGCAGGGGGCCAGGTTCCATCCTATGCTGGTTTCCAAACTGTCAGTCAGGGATTCATGAGCTCCCGTTGTTCAGGTCAGCTGTTTCTGTGGGTTTCTCCAGCATGGTCTTGACCCCTTTGCTCATCACTCCTCCCTCTCTGCAACTGGATTCCCAGAGTTCAGCCCAGTGTTTAGCTGTGGGTGTCTGCTTCTGCTTCCATCAGCTACTGATGAAGTCTCTAGGATGGCATATAAGGTAGTCATCACTCTCATTATTAGGGAAGAGCATTTAAGGTAGCCTCTCCACTATTGCTTAGATTGTTAGTTGAGGTCATCCTTATAGATCTCTGGACACTTCCCTAGTGCCAGATTTCTCTTTAAACCTATAATGGCTCCTTCTATTAAGGTATCTCTTTTCTTGCTCTCCTCTTACCCCCCCCCCCATCTTCCTGGTTTCTCAGGTCTTCCTTCCCCCTCCTTTTCTCTCCTTCTCTTTCTCCTAACTCCCTCTCCCCTTCCCCCTTGCTCCCATGCTCCCAATTTGCTCAGGAGATCTTTTCCCTTTCCCCTTCTCTGGGGAACCATATGTGTTTCTCTTAGAGTCCCCTTTGTTTCCTAACTTCTCTGGAGGTGTGGATTGTAGCTAGTAATTCTTTGCTCTATGTCTAATATCCATATATGAGTGAGTACGTAACATGCTTGTCTTTTTGTGACTGGGTTATCTCACTCAGGATGGTTTCTTCTAGTTGCATTCATTTGCCTGTGAATTTCAAGAGTCCATTTTTTTTCCACTGAGTAGTACTCCATTGTATAAATATACCGCATTTTCTATATTCATTCTTCAGTTGAGGGGCATCTAGGGGCAACAAATAATGCTACTATGAACATAGATGAACAGATGTCCTTGCTGTATGAATGTGTATCCTTTAGGTATACACCTAAGAATGGAATTGCTGGATCTTGAGGTAGACTGATTCCCAATTTCCTGAGGAACCACCATACTGATTTCCAAAGTGGCTGTACGAGTTTTCACTCCCACCAGCAGTGGAGGAGTGTTTCCCTTTCTCCACATCCTCTCCAGCATAAACTATTATTGGTGTTTTGATTTTAGCCATTTTGACAGGTGTAAGATGGTATCTCAGCGTTGTTTTGATTTGCATTTTCCCTGATGGCTAAGGATGTTGACCACTTTCTTAAGTGTCTTTCAGCCATTTTATGATTCTCTATTGAGAATTCTTTATTTAGTTCTGTACTCCACTTTTTAATTGGATTGTTAGGTGTTTTGGTGACTAGCTTCTTGAGTTCTTTGTATATTTTGGAAATTGCCCCTCTGTTAGATGTGCGGTTGGTGAAGATCTTTTCCCATTCATGTTGATCATGTTCTTTGCTTTACAGAAGTTTCTCCGTTTCAGGAGGTCCCATTTTTTTTTTTTAATTGTCAATCTCAGTGTCTGTGCTACTGATGTTGTGTTCAGGAAGCAGTCTCCTGTACCAATACGTTCAAGGGTGCCTCCCACTTTCTCTTCTAAGAGGTTCAGTGTGGCTGGATTTATGTTGAAGTCTTTGATCCATTTGGACGTAAGTATAATTTATGCATGGCAATCAATATGGATCTATCTGCAGTCTTCTACATGCCAGCAACCAGTTATGCCAGCACCATTTGTTGAAGATGCGTTCTTTTGCCGTTGTATAATTTTAGCTTCTTTGTCAAAAATCAGGTGTTTGTAGGTGTGTGGGTTAATTAATGTCAGGATTTTCAATTCGATTCCATTGGTCTACCTGTCTATTATTGTGCCAATACGAAGCTGTTTTCAGTACAGGTTTTTGTTTTTGGCTATCCTGGCTTTTTTGTTTTTCCATATAAAGTTGAGTATTCTTCTTTCAAAGTTTGTGAAGAATTGTGCCAGTATTTTGATGGGGATTGCATGGAATCTGTAGAGTGCTTTTGGCAAGATTGCCATTTTTACTATGTGGAACCTACCTATACAGGAACATGGGAGGTCTTTCCATTTTCTGCTATATTCTTTAAAGACTCAAAGTTCTTGTCATACAGGACTTTCACTTGTTTGGTTAGCATTACCCCAAGGTATTTTATGTTGTCTCTGGCTATTGTAAAGGGTGATATTTCTCTTATTTCTTTCTCAGCCCATTTATCATCTGTATATTGTAGGGCTACTGATTTTTTTCAGTTAATCTTGTATTCTGCCACTTTGCTGAAGGTGTTTTTCAGCTGTAGGAGTTCCTGTGTGGAGTTTTTTGGGTCACTTATGTAAACTAACATATCTGTAAATGTGAAAGTTTGACCTCTTCCTTTCCAACTTGTATCCCCTTGATCTCCTTTTGTTGTCTTATTGCTCTAGTTAGAACTTCAAGTACAATAATGAAGAGATATGGAGACAGTGGACAGCCTTGCCTTATTCCTGCTTTCAGAGGAATCACATTGAGTTTCTCTCCATTTAGTTTGCTGTTGGCTATTGGTTTGCTGTATATTGCTTTTATTATATTTAGGTATGTTCCTGTTATCCCTGATCTCTCAGAGGACCTTTAACATGAAGGAATGGTGGATCTTTTCAAAGGCTTTTTTAGCATCTAGTGAGATGATCATGTGGTTTTTCTTTTTCAGTTTGTATGGCAGATTACATTAATGGATTTTCGTATGTTGGACCATCCCTGCATCCCTGGGATAAAGCCTGCTTGATCATGGTGGATGATTTTTTGATGTGTTCTTGGATTTGATTTGCCAATATTTTATTTAGTATTTTTTACATCAATGTTCATGAGGGATATTGGTCTGCAGTTCTCTTTCTTAGTTGTGTTTTTGTGTGGCTTGGGTACCAAGGTAATTGTAACCTTATAAAAAAGTTTGGCAATGACCCTTCTGCTTCAGTAGTGTGGAACACTTTGAGGAGTATTGGTATTAGCTCTTCTTAGAATTTCTGGTAGAATTCTGCACTGAAACCATCTGGCCTGCTTGGTTGGGAGACTTTTGATGACTGCTTCTATTTCATCAGGAATTATAGGTATGTTTATATTGCTTATCTGTTCTTGATTTAATTTTGGTAAATGATATCTACCCAGAAAATTGTCCATTTCCATTAAATTTTCAAATTTTGTGGAGTACAGATTTTCAAAGTATGACCCTAGGATTCTCTGGATTTCCTCAGTCTGTTATGTCCCCCTTTTTATTTCTGATTTTGTTAATTTGCATGTTCTCTCTCTGTCTTTTGGTTAGTTTGGATAAAGGTTTATCTTGTTGATTTTGTGGAAGAACCAACTCTTTGTTACATTGATTCTTTCTATTGTTTTCTTTGCTTTCTACTTCATTGATTTCAGCCCTCAATTTGATATTTTCCTGGTATTTACTCCTCCGGGGTGAGTTTTCTTTTTGTTCTAGAGCTTTCAATTGTCCTCTTAATTCTCTAGTGTGACTAGTTTCCAGTTTCTTCATGTGGGCACTTAGTGCTCTGAACTTTCCTCTTAGCATTACTTTCAAAGTGTACCATAAGTTTGGGTATGTTGTGTCTTCATTCTCATTGAATTCTAGGAAGTCTTTCTTTTTTTGTTTCTTTCTTGACTCAGGATTGGTGCAATTGTGCATTGTTCAATTTCCATGAGTTTGTAGGGTATCTGCAGTTTGTATTGCTGTTGAATTCTAACTTTAAAGCATGGTGGTCTGATAAGACACAGGGGGTTATTCCAATTTTGTTGTTGTTGTTGTTGTTGGGGTTTGCTATGTTTCCGAGTATGTGGTCAATTTTAGAGACAGTTCTGTGTGGCACTGCGAAGAAGGTATATTCGTGTTTGGATGGAATGTTCTATAGAAGTCTGTTAAAGCCAACTAGGTCATAACTTCTGTTAGTTCCTTTGTTTGTTAAGTTTCTGTCTGGTGGTCCTGTCTAGTGGTGAGAGTAGGGTATTGAAGTCTCTCACTATAAGTGTGTGTGGTTTTATATGTGATTTGAGTTTTAGTAATGTTTCTTTTATGAATGTGGATGCCTTTCTATTTGGGGCATAGATGTTAAGAATGGAGTCTTCATCTTGATGGATTTTTCCTGTGATGAATATGAAATAACCTTCTTCATCTGTTTTGACTGATTTTAGTTTGAAGTCTAATTTGTTAGATATTAGGATTATTACACCAGTTTGTTTCTTGGGTCTGTTTGAAAACTCTTTTCCCAACCCTTAACTAAGATCTGTCATTGAAGTTGAGGTGTGTTTTTTGTTTGTAGCAGCAGGATGTATTCTGTCTTCGAATCCATTCTGTTAGCCTGTGTCTTTTTTAGGCGAGTTAAGACCATTAATATTGGGAAATATTAATGACCATTGACTGTTCCATCTTGTTTGTTTTGGATTTGCTGTTGTTGGTATTGTGTTGCCCCCCCCCCACACACACCGTTTTTCTTTTGGCTGTTGGTAAAGTGGGATTATCTATTGGCTATGTTTTTGTGAATGTAATTTACTTCCTTGGGTTGGAGTTTTCCTTCCATAACTTTCTGTAGAGCTGGATTAGTGGATATGTATTGTTTAAATCTGGTTTTGTCATGGAATATCTTGTTTTCTCCATCTATAGTGATTGAAAGGTTTGCTGGGTATAGTAGTCTGGGCTGGCATCTGTGGTCTCTTAGTGTTTGTAGAATATCTATCCAGGACCTTCTGGGTTTCAGAGTTTCCATGGAGAAGTCAAGTGTGATTCTGATAGGTTTGCCTTTATATGTTACTTGGCCTTTTTGCTTTACTGCTCTTAATACTCTTTCTTTATTCTGTATGTTTGTTGTTTGATTATTAATGTGGCAAGGGTACTTGGTGTTCTGTAAGCATTTTGTACTTTTATTGGCATGCCTTTCTTCTGGTTGGGAAAATTTTCTTCTATGATTTTGTTGAATGTTTTCTGCACCCTTGAGGTGGGTTTCTTCACCTTCTTCTATACCTATTATTCTTAGGTTTGGCCTTTTCACGGTATCCCATATTTCCTGGATGTTTTGTTAGGGATTTGTTGGCCTTAGGATTTTCTTTGGTTGATGAATCTGTTTCTCCTAGTGTGTCTTCAATGCTTAAGATTCTGTCTTCCATCTCTTGTATTCTGTTGGTTATGCTTGCATCTGTAGTCAATGATCATTTATCCAGCTTTTCTATTTTCAACATTCCCTCAGATTGTGTTTTTTTTTTTTTTTTTTTTTTTTTTTTGGTTTTTCGAGACAGGGTTTCTCTGTGGCTTTGGAGGCTGTCCTGGAACTAGCTCTTGTAGACCAGGCTGGCCTCGAACTCACAGAGATCCGCCTGCCTCTGCCTCCCAAGTGCTGGGATTAAAGGCGTGCGCCACCAACGCCCGGCTCAGATTGTGTTTTTTTATGGTCTCTATTTCAACTTTCAAGCCTTGCATTGTTTGAATTGTTTCCTTCACTTGTTTGGTTGTTTTTTCTTGGCTTTCCTTGTTTTCTTTAAGAGATTTGTTTATTTCTTGCAAATTTTTGTTTGTCTTTTCCTCTATTTCTTGAAATTTTTGTTTGTTTTTTCTTCCACTTCTTTAAGGGATTTTCTCATTACTTCTTTGAAGGTCCCTATCATCTTCATAATGTTGTTTTTAGAGTTGTTCTCTCCTGCTTCATCTGTATTGGGATGTTCAGGTCTTGTGGTTTTGAGTTCCTAGATTGTGGTGGTGTCATATTGTTCTTATACTGTTATCTTTTCACCCCTTCTTCCAGTGGGTTCTGGTGGGGTCTCTCTCTCTCCTCATGGGTAAAGGTCCTTGGTTCTCTTCCAGTCGGTACAAGTAGGTCCAATACCCGGATGGATGTCCTCTTCCTGTGGGTGGAGGCGGGGCTAGTACTGCATTGTTGGCATACTTTGCATGGCCTGGTCCACCAGGACTGGTTCCCCAGTGCACAGTCACCAGGCCTCAGGAGGCTCCTAGCAGGGCACTGGAAGGTGGCCATGATGCAAAATTTGACCCTTATTTATTACCTGAGTTTGTTTCCTCATATCTGCCATTGGGTTGAATAACTTATCACTCCTCTTCTTGTGAGGGTTAAATGAATGGTACATGTAGTCTACCTAGTTCAATTGAGACTTAGAACAGTTGTGTAGCAAGCTTTGTGGTTGGCCACTAACACAAGTAATGACGTGGAGACTTATTATTAAAGTTCAGCATCAGTTTAGGCTTGTCCCACTAGCTCTTATGACTTAAATTAACCCGTTTATATTAATTTATGTTTTGCCTTGTGGCTTTTTCCCTTTCTTTCGTTTTGTATGCCCGACGTCCTCCATGTCGTGTTGTCATCTGACTCTGCACCTACGTTCCTCTCCTTCCTCTCTGTCTGCCTATATCTCCTGCCTAGCTACTGGCCATTTAGCATTTTAGTACACCAGCACAGCAAATATATATTTACACAGTGTACACATATCCCACCACAGTTTTCACTGTTCTTCTCATACACGGTATTAGAAAGGTGGCTGTAAGCTAGGCGTGGTAGCACACGCCTTTAGTACTAGCACTCGGGCGGCAGAGGCAGGAGAATCTCTGAGTTTGTGGCCAGCCTGGTCTACAAAGAAAGTTCCAAGACAGCCAGGGCTACACAGAGAAACCCTGTGTCCAAAAAATAAACAAACAAAAATTGAAACAAAATGAAAGAAGGCTTTAGGAGGTAGAGGTAAAGTAAGCCGTCCTGTATCATGCTGTGTTCCCTAAAATACTCATGGCATTTATTTATTTTTATTCCTACAGGGATTTGTGTGGAGAGAAGCAATCTATAGGTGTGTTACTTACCAAATTTTGTCGTTCTTCTGTGCAAAATGGCGTGAAAGTTTATAATTCAAGAAGACTCATTTCTTAAGAGAATGGCACACCTTTTGGGTGGGGGACTAAATTACTTTATAAAGTTCCTGGATATAATCAAAGAAGACTCTCTTTCATACTTCTACTCCTGAGTTTTTTTAAAGATTAAATTTTACTTATGATTATTGTAAATGTACATGATGCGTGCATGAGTACATATGCCACAACATGTATGTTGAGATCAGAGGACTTCCCTGTAGTCTTTTTTTTCTCCTCCCACCTTTCAAGTTCAGAGGTCAAATTCAGATCGCCAGCTTCACTCAGCAAGCACCTTTACGTGCTGAGCCGCCCCGTTGGCCCTACCTATTGTTGGCTTTTAAAACCAACTCTTTGAATACCTTCTTCTCCTCTTCAGCATTTTGAAACTAGTACCATCTCCAGTACAACGAGATATCTGCATATTCTTCAGTGTACATCTGTACAATGCTCACTAAATTCAAGTGCAAAAAGTTAAAACTGGATGGTGGTGGCGCACGCCTTTAATCCCAGCACTCAGGAGGCAGAGGCAGGCGGATCTCTGAGGTTGAGGCCAGCCTGGGCTGCAGAGGAAGTCCAGGGCTACATAGAAAAACCCTGTCTTGGAAAAAAAATCTGTATTTATTTTATCTTGAAGCCTGTAAGATTCTATGTGTAGAAAGTTCTGCTTTTTACATATAAACTCCATGTCTTTAATTAAGATTTGTGTCCTAGTTATTAATATACTTAAGTTTTCTAAATAAATATTAATAGTAGTCTCATACAAAGATTTATTCTGTTAAAAGGTATTTCTAAATTAAGAGGTATATTATGTATTAATCAGGATTCTGTAGAATGTATATTTTATATAATAGATAAATATACATACTAATTTTATATTACATAATTATATATGTTGCATAAATAGAATTATATATTCATATGTTATATGAATATTTATATATAAATATAAAATAGAAACATATCCCTATATCATATATATATTATACACATGTCTTATATATTATATATGTACAATACTATTTATATACAACATATAAAATTCATATATATTACTTTTTATATCATGTATTATATATGTTGTACGTTATATTATAATTTTTAATGTATATGTTAGACCAGCTCATAGGTTGTGGTCCAGTTAGTCCGACAATGGCTGTCTGCCAGTGAAAAGTCTAAGAATCCAGTAGTTGTTCAGTCCACGAGACTGGATGTTGCAGCTGGTCTTTATCCTCCAGAATCCTGAAGAAGTAGGCTCTAATGCCAGTGAAGGAATGAACTTTCCAGCAAGTGCGAGCAGCGAGAACAGAAGCTTCCTTCTTCCAAGCCCTTTATGTTGGCTGCCACCACGTGTGACCCAGACTAAAGGTGGATCTTCCCTCAAAAGGTGCAGATTAAAGTTGGGTCATTTAGTTAAGAAAAATCTCTCATGGCTGTACCAAGCTGCTTGGATTTTAGTTCATTCCAGATGCAGCTGAGTTGACAACCAAGAATCTCCATCCCCAGTCGGGGCTTTTATATTAGTTGCTTACGTTGCTGAAGTTGACTTAACACTGGCCTCTGCTGGTTTAATTCTGCACTGTGGATAAAGTGCACTTAATCCTGCATCCTCTGTGAAGAACGCTTGAGGAGCGTACAACCCCCACACAGTAAACCTCACTAGAGAACTATCAATCACTTCTGGTTTTGGTAGTCCCTGTCTTTTGTCCGGTTGTCATTGAGGTTCCATGCTCTGCAAAGTCCTGGCACTCTCTGTCTTGTGTGCTCTGATATGGCTTCTGCCCAGTGATGACTCACTAGACCCAACCAGTAAAGACCTACTAGATTCAACTATGACCTACTGTGACGGCTTTCCTTTGTTGTCAGCTTGACTGTATCTGCAATAGAGTATAATCCAGAAGTGGAGGGCACTCATCCAGATCTTGAGGCTGGAAGACACCTGCCTGTCATCCAGACTTTGAGGCTGGAAGCACACCTTTAATCTGGGCCACACCTTCTGTTGGAAGCCTCTATAAGGACAATGGAATAAGGAAGGGTTTGTCCTCACCTTGTCTGCACATTCATCCCTTCACTGGCTTCACTGGCTACAGGATTCCAGGATATACAGAAGATCGGCTGAGACACCCAGCCTTGTGGGACTGAGTAGCTACAGATTGTTGAACTTTCTATTTACAGCTAGCCTTTATTGGGGGGCAGCCTGTAAGTCATTCTAATAAATTGTCCATATATGTATGTATATATATATAGAGAGAGATTCATTCCATAAGTTGTGACTTTAGAGAAGCTTGACTAATTCACCTACTATACCCAGTCAGTGAAGGCCTACTAGATTCAACCATTGACCTACTAAACTTGACCCCTGACCAATTGGAAGCCATTGAAATAGTATTAACGATTGGTCTAGAGCGGTGGTTCTCAACCCGTGAGTAATGACCCCCTTGGAGCTCATATATCAAGTATTTACATTATGATTCATAACAGAATATTACAGTTATGAAGTAACAGCAAAGTTATGGCTGGGGTCCCCACAACATGAGGAACTATAGCAAAGGCTCGGAGCATTAGGAGATTTGAGAACCATTGGCCTAGAGGTTGACAGCAACATTGATTCAACCACTCCAGACCACAGATCTCATGTCAACTGCATGTATCATGGAAACAGACGTCTTTCCTGTACTAATATTGACACTGTCTCCTCCAGCTTTCCATATGAATCCAGTGAGCCCACAGACAGCTTTCTCTGCAAAGATATTTAGCAGACTGTCACCTCCATGCAAAGAGGTGGTTTCACTTTAGTGTATCCATAAAGCCCAGCAAGGAGTTTCATTAGCTGTTAAGTTTCCATTATCACTGTACTCTCCTTCACTTCCTGAGGAGACTCGAACTTGGAACAAGCCTACCACTGCCCTTCTGGGTCTTATACAATTGTAGAAAATGACGTAAATCTGAGGATGCTCCTAGCAAATGAGAAAGAGTGAGGAAGTGGTCCTGCATGAGGACTGTTGTGTCAGGCATTTATGAGCTCTGACTTTACCCTGTGTGGGCTTTAATAAATAAGTGTTCATTGGGAACAAATAATTTCTAGTTTTGGAACATCTGATAAAGTTATGGCTTTATTTTCCTAGTTGGTTTTGCTTTAGACCCAAGTTTAAATAATTTAAAATCGGCTAATGAACTTGTCAACAGGACCACTTGAAAGGGTAATAAAAGTTAAACCTGTGAAGGTGGCATAAATGTTAATGGACGATCCACAATTAACAAAGTTAACAGATACTGGCTTGCCGCTTTGACCCACAGGAACAGGAAATGCAAATACAATGGCATTAACATGACTTTAATACTTTCTGTATTTATGGGTGTGATTTGATTTAGATCTGTAGATTCATAAGAAATGCTGAGGCCTCGGGACAATGGGGACTGAGAGTCCCCTGCGGTCTAATTACATTAAATCACAGGATCCCAGTGTGTCGAGTTTGCTATTGACAGCACAGCGTCTTGCTTTGGGGACCATTTCCAGCCCTCGGTTAAGGTCCCTCACCTCGGTTATACCTGGCTCCTTGTGCAACAAAGTTAACGTCCTCTCCTTCCTTCCCGGTCTTCTCTTCTCACCCAGTAAATCTTTTCCTCCGTTCTCCTAAATTTTAGAGATCGTTTAGAGATGAGCGAGAAAACAGGAGCTAAAGGCAAGATGTCGTGGGCTTGAGAAGCTATAGAGCAGCTGTTGTGTGTGACAGGGAGCGGGCTGGGGGTGGTCGAGGACGGGAGCGGGTGGCCGGGCGCTCAGGGAGCACTGCAGGGGTCACTACCAGGAATGCGCCCCAGCCCCTCGAGCAGCCGGGAAGGCGAGCCCCGCGGGAGCGCTTCATGCCTCCCACCGGCATAGAGTCGTCCAGGATGAACAGGAAGAAAGGAGACAAGGGCTTCGAGGGCCCACGGCCAAACGAATTATAAGTACCCCCACCCCACCCAGCCCCGCATCTCCCCCTTCTTTGGTTTTGTTTTCTTTGTTTCCGTGAATGATTTGATATGGCTAGAAAACTAGTGGCAAAGTAGAGTCCACTCCAGGGGACGGGATACTTGTAGAGTGAAAACGTTTTGAATGACAGTGTTATTCAGCACATTTAGCTCACCCCATCACAGGCTCATAACCCTTTCTTAAAGTACTGCTATCGTTTTGTCAAGACAAACCTTTCCGTGACTCTTGATAGAGTTAAAATGAGCAGATTACTCAGTAAATAGACTTTGAAGATAGAAACTTACTAAGTTTGCTGTGTGATTTTTTGTTTTTTGAACCAGCATAGGACCGAAGCAGGCCCCCTGCATGTGGGCGTCAGCTAGGAGGCCTGGGCAGTGTAAGGAGCCTCTGGCAGTGGAACAGTGTTTATCCCTAGAGCACGAACGGACTTCGGGAACCCATTCCCCATGTAGGGATACTCTATTAGTCTAGACACTCTGGGAGGGTCTAGGCCCTGCCCCAAGTGACTTGACAGACTTTGATGATCCCTCATGGGAGGCCTCACCCTCACTGGGGAGTGGATAGGGGATGGGATGGGGATGGGGGAGGCATGGAAGGATGGGACTGACATGTAAAATAAGATTGTTTCTACTTTAAATAAAATTTTATAAAAAAAGAAGAGTTCTTATTTGTACTTGGATACAGTTTATGCTTTTGTTTAATAAAAGTCATTTCCCTGTTCTCTTTTTTAATATACAACCCATCAAATCAACAATATAAACTTCCAGAGAAAATTTGTTGTGATAAGATCATTCCCAGTCATCATAAACAGTATAAGTCAGCCTTTCACATTCCCAGTCAACATAAACAGTGTAAGTTAGTCTTTCACAGTTAGAGACGCTACGTCTTCCAGGTGATGGTGCCTCAAGAATAAGAAATTAGAATTCAAGTCTGTTGGTTGCCTCAATTTTCCCAACTGGTCTCTTTTCCTGATTAAAATGTTTAATGCATTATGTATGTTGTGGAATAGAAAGTCTTTATAATCAAGCACTTCCACATTGTGCATTAGACAAGAATAAGCCATGCACAAATTAAGATGTATACACATTGACTTGACTTGGTTCCTAAGAAACCTGCTGATTTCGAATCGCCACTGATATGGTTTAGGTAGTACTGTTTTATGGTGAGGTTTTGAGTAGCTTTTTTAAAAAAAGATTTGTTAGATTTATGGTTAGCTGGTAAAACCCAGGTACTTCTGAAGGACCTGTATGACTTAAACAGGCTAGATCTTAGAGTTGCTTTTCTTTGAAATATTGTATCAGCTTCCTCATTAGGCTTGACTTATGTTTCTATAGGTGTAAGTTTAGGATTAGCTGTAAAGGTAGGAAAGTGTAACTTTCAAAGCAGTCTTAGGATTTTAGGTTGTGAAGATCCTAAAAAAGTCATTAGAGGCAGCTGCTCATTTATGGAAGTTCTTGTAGTATTTGCCACAGATTGCTATTTATCTTGAGTTTAGGGGGTAGAACACATTAGGTGGATTATGTAGAGAACGTGGAAGAACTAGGGGGTATATTTAAGATGTTATTCCAGCAGTATGGGGAAGACATGATGGAGCTCTCCAGTTTAGCACTATTTCAGTGGAGCAGAGTCAATGTGATTGAATTAGAGAGAATGTTAGTTGAATCGTTACGTCAGTAAGACATTCCTTAAGGTGTGTGTATATTGTGTCTTCACTGTAGCCCTGT